GTTCCCAGGCAGGCTCCTAGACTGAGCTTTAATGATGCTACCAGGCTGGACCGGAAACAGTATTAAACTTCTGGGCACCACCCAGCCACAACAAATCCCTCTGGTGGGGCTTTGTGAGTGACTGCCTCTCACAATCCACTCTGGGCTGAGCTGGCTGGAAAAGGACCAAGATTAGTTTCCAGCAGCATGTTAACCAGCCACTTCCGCAGAAGTCTGCTGGTCCCTACATAAGTTATTACACCAGACATGCTGTTTGTTAAGGATGCTGTCGTTCAATAGTGTGTGTATTTCGTATGGTATTACTGTGTTGACCACTTGAATGGCAACATCTAGCTGGATTTAAAGACCTGACTTAAGGTTTTCTCTAAATTACCAAAACACACAGCAACAAGTTTGTGCTTGCCTGGGAAATTTCGCTCAGTTCCTGTGCAGTCACAGTCTGACTCTAGCTGTCCTTAGAGTTTTTATTGCAAGGTATCCATCAGACGTTTTCCGGGTCCACAGGTGGTAATTTTTTCTGGTCTTATAGCCTGATTCAAAACCCATGGAAGTAAATGGGAAGACTCCCCTTTAGGGGTTTGGATTAGAAAGCAGTTACAGTCAGAAAAATAGCTCTGTCAAAATGGCACCACTTCCTTCATACACCTGTTCCTTCAGTGTGTTTAGAGCCCTATCAGTGAATATAGTGGTACTATGGTTTAGTAGATGAACACAGGAGAGACAGTAAAAAGGAACAGAGGGAACACAGTATATAAAACAAACATCTTCAAGTCATAAATCCAAGGCTTGAGTCTCATGCTAAAGACAGTGCTGTAATCCTCTAATCCAAACTTCGCTTTTGGTTTAAGAGGAAGTAAAGGAAACAAGAATAATGGAGAACAGAGTAGTAACTACGTTGTCTTTTGGCCACAAGACAGTAGCTAATTCGATTAGTATGATATGGAATGGAGATATATGGAGCCTTTCCTACATATTGTTGCAGAGTTTATCCTTTGTTAATCACTGGTGAATGGAATTACAAATAACTGTAGAAGTAGAAATATTTGTTGTAAAATAATGTTTGGAAATTTGAAAAAAAATAAGCAAAAATTAATCACAAATATTTCTAGTAGCAGGCAAAAGAGTCTCTCTCCCTAGCAGAGGCTGACAGAGAGAATGAAAAAAATAACGCCAATATATGTGGCAAGTTTCTTTTGCCCTAAAATAGATACTAATTTAGATCTATAGCAGTAAGTGAAACAATAATCAATCTAGCATTTGATGCTTGGCAATGGATCTGATTTTGAGACAGGTGGGCCTTTGTGCATGCTCAGTAGTGGATCTCCAAGAGAGTCTTGAGGGAATAGTGTTCTTGGTTTATATTTGACTAGGAGCATTTCCAAGAATCTCTGTTCATGCACTCTCTTGGATAAGGGCCGATTGAATCACCTCAGTTAACTTTTGCACTGCTTTCTCTCATGCTCTGTCTTTGCACTGTGCTTTCTTAATCTGTCAAGCTAACAGGTAAATGGAGAGAGAGGGAATTTATCTTCTGAAACACATTTTAAGTTGCTGCCATTTATCTAAAGCACCTACTTCATCCCCTTCAGTAAAATAATGATGATGATGTTCATTAGTTCTTCTAGCTGCTCGTGGCTAAATGTGCTGAAATCAGATAGGAGAAAAAAATAGTGCAATAGGGCAATCAGCCACTTATGAAAGTCAAACATTTGTAATCATGATATTGGCTTTTTTGGAAGACTCGCTATTCTGCTGATGCTTTTAAAAGAAATATCTCCAGATGAATGCAACTTGGTGTTCCTTGTCCAGACATTTTTTTTTCCCCCAGCCCTTTTTGTTTTTTAAAAATTTTCCCCCCCCCCCCCCCCCCCCCGCTTCATTTTGTATTGCTCCAAATCATGTGTTTTGAATGGTTCTTCCCACACCCCCACCCCACCCCGCCCCAATCCCCTCTCTCTTCTGGAAAACATGTTAGCGTTTCTAGCTATTGTCACCGTTCTGCCTTATTTCTTTGATTGCACATCCTTAAGTTTAAAAAAATAATTCAGCAGCAATTGGCAAGTGGTCCAATAAAAAATGAAGTCTCTGAATGTCTTGGAGCCAGCCTTTAGCTTTGCTTGCTCATGCTGTGATTTTGGATCTTACATTGCTCTATGACTGAGATGCTACAACTTTAAGTGTTCTTGCAGTCTGATCTTTCAACTCTTACTCCCAAAATAATCCCATTGACTTCAAGTGACAGTAAAGGTTGTTCATGTGCCATAAGGCTTGCAGGCCTGTCCATCTAAAATTAAACCTATTTACCCTTTGTGTAGATCCTGTGCCAACCCTAACATTGAGAAATGAGCCAGCTGCTCACCTGGAACTTCAGCTATTTCTTTTAAATACAGTCTGCTCTCATGTAGGTTCCCCCCCTCCCCTTTCTTCTTCAAGGAGCCCTGAGGTTTGCATGTACCCACAGGCTCTGGGAAGGGCATTTTTGTGGGTAATACAACATATGATCCTGGGGCCTTAGTGATAGTTACTAAATGACTAATCTGTGTATCTAGCTCAGGGGTCGGCAACCTTTGGCACACGTGCTTACCCTGGCGGGCCGGGCCGCTTTGTTTACCTGCCGTGTCCTAAGGTTCGGCCGATTGCGGCTCCCACTGGCCGCAGTTCGCCACTCCAAGCCAATGGGGGGGCAGCGGGAAGCGGCGGCCAGCACATCCCTTGGCACGCGCTGCTTCCTGCCACCACCATTGGCCTGGAGCGGCGAACCGCAGCGAGCGGGAGCCGCAATTGGCCGAACCTGCGGATGCGGCAGGTAAACAAACCGGCCCGGCCCACCCAGGTGCTTACCCTGGCGAGCCGCGTGCCAAAGGTTGCCGACCCCTGAGCTAGCTTACCAATTGCAGTAAAGGAGCCTTAAAATTACACCTGTCCTGCAGAAAGATTTTTGTTGTTTTTGTTCATGAAATCAGTGTTAATCAATAGAGTTTACATTCCTGCACAGGAGATCTGCTGCAGGACAGGTGGAATTTTAAAATTCCAGATCTGTATTTGCAACATCAGATGTGTTAGAAACCAGGTCAGTATGAATTTTCCACATCCGGTAACAGTGGCTAAACTAAGGTTCCTGAGCTTTTTCTGTGGCAACACACAGTGCTTTGTGTTGCCTTTGCAAAGTGACTGGCAGCCCCTTGGGTCACACATATCCAAAGTACACAGTCTCCTGCTCGGTTACCAAGAGGTCAACGGATGCTTAAAAATGTTGCATTTTTAACCTTTGAAACTGAAGTCTGGTGACTGGTCTTTGCAGCATTACTGACAACAGATGGCAAACAGCTCCACTGATGTAATTCTTATTTGTAATTCATTCCTGTGAAGTTCCACAAACAGCTTCACAAAATCTCTGAGAATGCCTCCATGTTTTTTTGCTGTGTTACAACATCAAGCCAAATTAAATAAAAATTCCATTTTGTATCATTCAGATTCCCTTGGTGTCATGTGATGTTTTTGTAAAGGTTGCCTTGCAGCAGTTTCAGATAAGTGCACGTTTGGTAGCAATTTAAGGCCTGTGTCCTTTAAGTAATGCTTATTAGGACGTAACAGATGCTGTTTAGAAACATTATGCCTTTTAATAGGCTCTGCTTTTAGGCTGTATGTTCTCTTTTTCAAGGCAGGCGGTAGATCAGCAAGCTTGGAGGTATGCTGTCGTTTATGCAAAGCCTAAGTCAATTTTCTGCTCTGAAATCAAGCCATGTGTTTTTCCTTGTTTTTTCCATTCTGGTCATAGCTATCTTGCTGTGTTTTTTCCCCCACATCAGATCTTTGGCTGTTTGTCAAGGCACTACAATAAAAACCTTTTGCATTTTTAACCACCAGAAGTGGTCTTTTTAGATGAGACCATGGGAAACCAAATTTAAAGAACCTCATATTTGATGTCAAGTGCACAGACAGTACAGAGCTAAACCATTCCCACCAGCCCCTTAAAAAAAAAAAAAAGCTATGGTGGTTTTGGCGCAGTTTCAAAGACGTAGAATAGCTGACACAAAAGCACAGAAAAACAATAGTGATATTTACACATTTCCTTCCACTACATGCAGCTGTTTATTGAAGCAAGAAATTCAGGACAGGCTCAGAGAGCTATGATAGGTAGCACAGCTATTCGCTTTTATATAATAAAATTGGCAGTATCAAAATGTCTGGATGACTGTAAGGCATGGACAAACACTGGGGAAGAATGTTTCTGTTCCTTCCTTCTCTTGCTCAAATTAAATACATTTTAATTTTGAAAGGAATCTAGTTTAAAGATTGATTCTTGCAAGTACACCTCTACTCCGATATAACGCTGTCCTCGGGAGCCAAAAAATTCTTACTGTGTTATAGGTGAAACCGCGTTATATCGAACTTGCTTTGATCCACCAGAGTGCGCAGCCCCGCCCCCCCGGAGCGCTGCTTTACCGCGTTATATCCGAAT